TACTTCGTTCAAGGATTTAAATACTGTAGTAGTAAAAACTTGATATGAATGTTGAATATAAATAATAATTTTGCAAAAAAAAAAATATTTAGCATATTATGTTATATTAGTGCTATAGACATGGGCTCGCTTGAGAAGTATGAGTGTTCTTCCTCGCCCGAAATTATAACAAATTTAGAAAAAAAGTATTGCTTGATATTTTTATACGAGTACAATTTAAGATTAATAATATTATAAATGTTTGCCAAGGTTATTTATATAGTCTATTATTAAAATATTTAGTGCTATAAAATTAATTATTACTAAAATTATTATCTAGTGAAATACGAGGTAGTAAATATATTGAAACACTAGAAAAAAATATCTAGGCACGCCCCTTGCTATATGTGTTTTAGTTAATTTTTAATATATGTATTACCGTTAAATCGTCTTCTCTTTCCAATACTGAAATACTTTTTATGAAGTCTCGAGGACATGACCGTATTATGTATAATATAAACATATATATGGTATATACCAGGAATGGCAAATAAGTGGCACGCGTGCCAAGGTTAGCACGAATGAGATTTTCGATGGCACTCGAAAAATTTTATTTATTTTTAAATTATTTGTAAATAATTTTATTTATTGTTTAATTTTTATTATTTTATAGATTTTTAAGTAACATACAATAAATTGAATTATCAATTGTACTTATTAATAATACATATTTCACAATTACGTATTGTTATTTTATATTTATTATTATAAAATAATTTATATGTTGTAAAATAGTGAGGTACTAGATTACTAGAAGTGTGTGTTCACTTCAACTAGAAGTTGTATTCTAACAAATAAAAACAATAATTTAATATTTTTTTTACATTACTTTCTACATTATAATCATTATTTTTTGATTAATATTTTTCATTTGTATTTTTCTGTGTTAATAAAAATAATTTTGGCACAGCTGAATTTTTTTTTTTTAATTATGTCATAAATTAGCACGTTGAAAAAATCCTATTTTCTATCCCTGTTATATACAGTGGAATTTCGATAGTTTGAACCTCTAAAAGTCGAATTTTTGTTAATTCAAAGGAATGTCTTGACCCCTACATTTCAATATATGATATGTATGATACATTTTCTCGATAAGTCGAAGTCATTTGAGTTGAATTTTGTTTTGTAACTTGAATTCTTCAACATACAGTACCGAAAATTAATGAAACAATAAAAAAAAATGTATATGTAAACAGCGTATGTGCGTATGTTCATAAATAATGAAAATAAATTAGTTAAGTGGAAAGGAATCGGATAATAATGATGATGTGAAATTATCTTTAACTACTCTTGCCCAGGAATTAGATTATTTACAGGTAGTACGTAAATATATTCATGAACAACCAGAAACTCCAGATGAGATTTTTTCCGCTATCAACATAATTGAAAACTTTACAGATACGTCCTTATCATACATTAAAAAATAATCAAAAATATGTAATTTCTTCCAAAAATAATCCTACTTTTATTTTATTTATTTTACTATAGAATTCTTTTCTGAAAATTTCATTACATACATAGTATGTATAAGTATAGTATAAGTAAATAAATAAAATGATAAAATAATATCTTTCTGAAGTATATAAAAATAATAATAATATATTTTCGATAACTCGAATTTTTTTCTACCCCTTACCAATTCAAGTTTATAATGCTTTTTGTAAATCGAATTACCGATTGCTCGAATTTTTTTCTTTGCGCCGGACCGATTCGAGTTATCGAGGTTCCAGAATATATTCTACAATCCCCCGTTGTGGCCTCACCCAAGTTACAATCAAATAGAATTTAGACTGTGTCATTAGTGCATGTAATATGATATTTTTAAAATATTTGTTTAAAGGATTTTTGAGAAAAAACATTTTTTGTTTTCAAACCATCTGGTAATAAAATAAATAGTTGCCGGTTTATCTGCTCTTGATAGTCTTACCATATAACTTACCATGTGAGAAACAGTCAGAGCGCAAATCAATACCAACATATTTAAATATTTGGCCTTGAGCCGTATTAATTGTAATAACGAACGAAACTTTAATGTGAAATTATAGCTTCTTAAACTGGAAAGGTAAATCTGTATAAATCATAGGTGCCTATAGGGGATATAAAAGCAACATCATTCGCCGCTGGTCCAGTAAAAATAGTAGCTTCGATAACATTATTATGCATAACATTTATTCTAAGTATTGTACTGTTACATAAATTTGGCAAGAGAAAAATACCTAATTATACTATAGGAACATCAACTTTCAGCTGTCCGTTCTGTAGTGGAGAACTAGCAAGATTAAAAGAACTCAAAAATTCTTGTAGTTAGTGAACAGCGTCCTCCGTACTCACAACAGCATTATTTGATCGATACTCTTTAATTTTTCCTCTTACGTGTTATAAAATAATATTGTTAATTTTAGATGCAGAAACGTTTCATGGTGTTATAATAGCTCTTTCAGGTATACAAGTCAGGAGTTTGATTTCTGTAAAAAATCATCAATCATATGATAGACAATAAAAATAAAATCAGTAATAGTTATTACAATCTTACCTAATTTTGAATCAACTGATTTAATTCTAATCTTATGTAAGTAAATACTACAAATTCCTTATATGATATGTTTTAATGATTTCATTAAATCTTATAAACTTATTTTATATACTACCATAAATATTAAACATTAGTATGAACGTCTTCTATAAACCTGAAGGTTGAAGGTAAGGTGGTCGTAAGAGTAAGTATCTGCCGTGGCCAGAACTGGTCGTTTGCTCATCTTCTTGACTGCTCGACTCGATCGATAAATTATTAATTTTGGTCTGTTATAAGCTCAACGCATCATGCGGGTATGGTTTACTCAGCATAGTCAGCCCCACTTGTCCTTCCTCTTACTAAACATACCATATTAGCCATGTCATACTTAAAGAGTGTAATATTTTGTGTCAATGTACGATAATCGTTACACCGTCCACCGATTTGGTTCCATAAAATACAATCGAAAATTGAATAATTTTAAAATTTTTAAATTTGAATAATTAATAAAATAGAATTTAACGACGATGAATATTATTTTCACAATATTGATTAAGATATCTGTTAATTCCGAAACATTGACGATATATTGTCTGTTAATGTTAACAAATAATTGACATCATTTACATTATTAGCGTTAAATTGTATGTATTAAACAAGATAAAATCGTAAAAAATAATATTTTTCATGGTTAATGAACCGAAAAATTAAATTCAATTCGATTTCAGAAAATATATTGAATTAATGAATACAATATGCTGGAAATTTATACTTGAACATTATTCAACGTAAAATTATTTTTAAACGAAGAAACTTACTAAAAATATTGAAGTTACTCATTCGGAAAGTATATTTTAAAACGCGTTTTGCCAATTCATCACTCACAAATAGTAAAACTATTGTGTCAGTTTTCTTTTGACGCATTTACAGTTCGTAAATATTAATTATATTTTATATCTTATATTTTTGTCTTTTCCCTACCAACATTTTGCCAAAGATGCTTAGAACCATAGTCTCTTGTCCACATCGAGAACAATACACAATTTTAATTGTATAGATACGTCTTATAAGCTTGTAATATATATTGAAAATGTCATACATAAACGGAAAAAGTCTATGGTCAGACAGAAGTAAAAACAAAGTGCATTATCTAAGAAGCTTCAAATTTACCTTCTTAACTAATTGTTAATAATATTTCACCGCCATTCGTGTACTTTTCATTCGCTAAATTATGAGTACCACGACGAAAAGTCTTGATACTATCATGTATAACCCATCGCGTGTACACTTTACCTGAATTTGACTTGTGTATATAATGCTAGTCCGTCAGACCTTATCCGGCCGATCAACTATGACCTTCTAATTCAGGTAAACTAAAAAAAAGCGCAAAAAATGCAGCGTATCTGAATTTCGGTAGACACATTTATTGATGGGTTCTAATCAACTCACTGAATGTCTCCTAATAATGGATAACGGTGAACTCCACTAGAGCACGATTTGTATAAAAAAAAAAAAAATCAATTTTTTACCTATTAATCTGTTATTTTTATGATTAGAAGAAAAATATATACTTAAAAATGTATACTCGAGATAATTGCATATAAAAAAATTATTTATAGTTCTTATCGTTGAAATAATATTTAATTTGATAATCTTACCTACATGAAATATATAAGTATTAATAACTTTTTGTTTTATTACACATAAATTATGTGACGAGATCTTATGAATATTAGTTTTTAGATAAATCATAATATTATAATAATATAATATTATAATATTATAGCTAATTGTTTTCCAACAAAACTAGCAACCATACGATTTTAGGGAATTTTTAGTATATTGATTAGGACTTTTCAATAAAAAAAACTAAGCATTTCCATTTTTTTTTCGTTTTTTATTAAAATAAAGTCCAATATTTGTCTGGAATTTTCACAACAACTGGTGCACTATGTTTTCCGTCAAGGAAAACTAAAGTGTGACTTTTCTTTCTCCTTCTCTCCTTCATAAGGGAACATAAAAGTATTACGCAGCACATATTTTGCATTTTTGAACCCCTTCCCCGTTCTAAAAGCATCCGTCAGACAGTGACTATCCAACGCATCCATCTTATATCAACGTTTTTCCAAGACCTTTTCTAAATTCTTACATTCTTATTAATAAAACGAATTTCTTTCGAAATGATATAAAAATAAGAATAATAAGATGGCACGTCTCCGATGATGTCGGTAATTCATTACCATTTGCATTTATCGAAAGTTAATTCGATTTTATAAGTATGATAGTTGTATCAGATTACAGATTTAAACTCCCTCCCACCATATAAGTTACTATATGATGTTTCGAACCCCTTCGTCCGGATCTGCTGAAGTAATATATTTAGTTGAATGCTCTCCATAACTCCATACGTGTCCAGTTGATTATAACAGTCATTACGTGCGTGTTTCAGAACGAACAGCCGTGGGAGAGTTATGACCGGTGGAGGATCATGGAGTGAATTGCGTGAGGCGTAGCAGCCTTGGGACAGACGACAAAAGACCGTACTACGGTCCGCGGGAAACGTGTCTCGCAGTCGTGTACGTCATGTTCAATCCACCGAAACTTCATAAGCACGACTTCAACGGGTTCATGACGATGATGGCCACGTTGATCGAGACCACGGTGAAGGGCGACGGAGTCGGTATCGGGTGGCCGGACTTCAACCCTAACGATACGATAGGCGAAGGTGGCAACGGCGATGGTGACGAGCCGTCTAACGGTGGCGGTGGCGTCGGCATGCGCAAACTCCCGTTCAACTTGACGGTCAAACAGGCGTTGGACGTGATATTCGAGAACCAGCTGAACGCGGACCAGGTGCTGGTGCTCTACCTGGAGGTGGCCATTGTGGTCGCGTATGGCGTGCTGTTTGTCATCGGGCTCGTGTCCAACGGGCTGGTGTGCTTCGTCGTGTTTCGGCAATGCGGCAAGAAGAACCTGCCCAGCCAGGGCCCATCGCCGCGCAACCTGTACATCGTCAACCTCGCATTCGCCGACATAATCATGTGCGTGGTGTGCATGCCGTTCACGTTGTGGGCCCTTATGTCCCGCCGGTGGACCTGGGGCTTGATCATGTGCAAGACCGTACCGGCCGCCCAGGGTGCCAATATCACCGTGTCGGCGTGCACTATAACCGCCATCGCCCTGGACAGGTATGCGATAAACGTACAAATAATTATAATACCAAATAACGATTTTATTTTTGTACTATTATACTATTATCTGAGTTACCCGATTGTTTCCGAGACGTTTTACTATTTTAGATTAGAGCAACTACCATTTCGATGTAAAAAAAAATTAAATTGAAAAAACGTTCAATCGTCGTATAGGTATTCTAACGATATTTAATTCAATATTTAATTTATGAATTTACAAATACTTCAATCGGTAAAATTAATGTATTAAGCAAAATTAAATATTTTTTACGTATCCCAAAGAAAAAAATTATATGTCCAGCTCAGAGCTCATATCTTGATTTAGAAAATCCTTCCGTCTATCATAATCTATAATTATCTAATCTGTGCCTTCATAGTAGGTACATTTTCATCATATGTTGATCAATCGGTGAGTGAGTGAGCATTATATATATATATATATATTTATAGAATTCCTCGTATATTCTTATAATTTTATTTTTATTTATTTATTCTGTATTGATTTTCAAATATCTATATTGGTATTATTAAAATTAAAATTAAATACAAACATAATAAAAATAGATAACCAAAAATTGAAAAAACTTTATACTTCCGGTCCAAAGTCCAAAATTGTTTCAACCCTTAAAAATGTGATTTTCGAAAAATGCATTCTTGATATACCTAATTAGTTACACTTTAGCTATAGCCCCTCCTAATGAATAAGTTCCTAGTCTGGCATCTGGCCTGAAACATTTAATCGGTCAGAGGTAAAATTCTTGTTCCTTTTCTCCCACGGCGTGCGTTTCATCATATTATTCGAGTAAATTAGTGAAATACTCAAAGTGATAATAGATACGATCCCATGGTATTGATGTTGGTGAATACATGATATTATCGATGCAATAATATATCATACATTTATACATTGAAATACTTTAGTAAAATAAATACCCAATGCAGACTATGAATATTGGTAATAATATTTATACACGTACAATATTAATATATTTAAAATTTATAAATTGTGTTGGGGTCCGTCCGGGTACGGAACAATGCAATTTTGTCATCTAAATAATTTGTTTCGCTCTATTACACGTCGATCTAACTGTGATTTTTGTCTGCATTTATGAATTTAGCATTCAACATGAAGTTACTATAGATCGAACTATATCTGTGAGGACTAGTGTGAGTAAGATTTGTGTGAGTGTATGTATAGACATAAAGGTAACTCAAGTAATAAATTATAATAATAAACGATTTGGCTTGTTATAAGTCATTATAAACAAATTAAAAATAGGCCCATTCTAATTTGACAATATAAATATAATAATTAATAATTATAGAAAAACACATAATTTGTTGGGCGTAGCCTGACCAATTGGTTCTATAGCTATGGAATGTACAAAATAATATGAAAATAAGTTGTAATACACTTCTCACCTTGACGATTAGTGGACATACGAAAAATAATAAAATAATAAATAAAAAAGTTATTATAGTAGCGATAAACGCACGCATTATATATACAATACTGTGATAATTACCGCTCACGTTTAATAATAATAAATAATAATCTTAATGATTTTATCCTCATACAATATTTTAAAAATAATCGATTTGAAGTGATACGTGACATTAAAATATGAACCAACAATAGAAATAATTAATAAAAAGCGAGAATGATAGGAAAAATAATTATTTTGTGCATGTGTGTTTCAATTTCGGTGGTCGTAATATAGGCTTCAACAAATTGAAATACTTTCATATCTTTATAGAAAAACAGAAATATATATATATATGTATAAACATGTCGTATTTAAGTGATAATACATATAAACATTTAAAATAAATGTATATTTGATCATTTGTTAATGAAAATTTGACAAATACAATCTTCAAAAAAGCATTATTTTCTAGGAAATGTTAAAAAAATGTTTTTATTTTTTTTTTTTTTGCTTTTGAGCTGAGACAAATTACATTACTCATGATATGTTAGCACAATAAGTATGTTCGTATTTCAATGTTTTTTTCTGCGAGTAATTGTCACAAAAAATAAATGAAAACCATAGTACTTTCAAAATACCACTATTGTTACATGTTACTAAACGTTCGATGTACACTAAAGTACTTCGTGGCATTGTTAATAATTGAAAAACCGACACGCATTTTATTTTTATTTTTCTACTAACCCGTTGACGGAAACTAGAATAATGCGTACCGCTTCAAAGCTCTACATCATTTTTGTTCATTTTCAAAACAAAACATTTTTATTAACATCACCGTCCTAAGAGTGAGCCGTTTCATAACAGCTTCAAAGCATAACAATTTCTAATTTTGAAATTATATAGTAAATGAATATTCATAATTCATTAATTCATGAAAAATTATCAAAACTAATGTAGACCTCACGTTTCAAAATATTAAAGATGTATTGAATTATGATTGTTGAACTAATATTAGATTATTAATTGCTTCAGTTTCTATTAATAAATAAATAAACACTTTTTCGTTACATTAAATTGCATAAATAGTTTTATGAAACAGAAAGAGCTGTTATAAATTAATATTAACAGCAATTTTACGAAACAAGTAGTAAAATATTATAGTAGTGTTTGTAAGACGGCGTGTTAGTTAGGCAATTTTGCTACTTATGTGTATTCATAATAATTTGGTGTAATAATTTAATTACATTAATATCAAGTATTAAAAGCATTGTTTATTGCTTTCAGCGGACCAGTTATGACGTTCTGAAAAATGATTTGTCATCGTTATAAATTACTTATCTATATTTAGTCTTTTATTTTTTAAAATTATTTCTGTTTTCACAAAGGGTGACAAAAAAAAAAGTTAGATTCCTTGGTCGGGTGAAACATCAAAGCCGTGTAAGATGGCATGGAGGAATGTTATAACTGTATTGGTTTGTTTAACTTGAAATCAATATGTCATTGATCTCGAAGAAACAATTAAATGAGGTCGAGTGTATCAGTTTATATTCCTAAAGAATTCCTGTAAGAATAAAATAACGTATTATGAAGATATTAAATTTTTAATTATTTCTAATAATAGTTGTTTGATTTATGACACAAAAAATAACTGATTTTCACCATTCCAATTTTTGGAAAATGTAAATTATAAATTTGAATGGTACACATAATAAAATAATTAATACCAAGCCTTATGTAATGCATCGTGAGAATGTGAAAATTATATGAAATATAGATTTATATTTATTGTTGAAAAACTGATGGTAAATATATATATTTTTTTTTTTTGATGCTAAGTCATATTTATTCTGACATTCGATATCAGAGTTAGAAAAAACAAAACCAATGTGAGAGGTTCACTGATGTAGATATTTCAAGGGACCCAAGTTAAAATGAAAAATATGAATTGGGTCATACAAGTGACAGTTATTTATTGACTTTGACCATAATAGTTTGAGTTGTTCAAAACAATTTTTATATGGTATAAAAAAAATTTTACTTTGTGCTATTTAATAAGACATACTGGATGATAACGGCAAGGGAAATCGCCAATAGTTATTGATGACTGTCATAATGCTCTATAATCAAGGTATTAACTTCTCGTTGAAATTTCGGTTGAAAAATGAACTATTACAACATCTGACTATCGCAAAAAAATTCACAGAAAATAATAGAACACTTTAATGTATTGGTTTATTCATAAAAATACAACGGTTATAAGATTATCATCTTGATCCTAAATGATTTTAAGTGTTTTTTTTTTCATATTTACCTTTAATTAAGGATAAAAGAACATCAATAAATAAAAAAAACCTCTTAATACATTTTTAATTTTTGTGGACAGTTGCATTTTCCGTCAAAATGAATTATACATTTCTCTTATAAATATATTTTGATGTATTATACTCGTAATATTATTATACTTGTTTCTTCAAAAGTAGACAGTTTCAAACCATTTTGTAGCAGTTATTTTTTTTTTAGCATTAGATAATTCATATTCTAAATAAAAATCTATTGATTTTATTTACAGATTTTTATAGCAGTAATTAATTAATACCTATTATATTTTATTTTAATAACTTGAATGAATATTTCTATTTTTAATTTGTTAATTTATATAGGAAATTACAAAAATGTTTTTTTTTACACTGTAGCATGCCGCCGGTGACTCTGTCACAATAATGATAAATTGCTAAGTGCTAAGAATGGGACAAGTTCGATAAATATACTTATATAAAATATTTCTTACAGTATTAGTGGTTATTTATTTTAATACTTTATCAAAAAATCAACAGATGACTGGAAGAACATGGCTGGATGCGTTTAAAGTTAGTGCTGAACCGGAGTCCTTATAAATGCTGTTTGATCGTGTCTTCGTTAGTTAATTATTTGTTTTGGCCAATTGGTTGACCTTGTCTTTGATCGAAAAATTCGGATGCGCTATTTTGCAATCTGTAGCTTTTTCTTATTGTGGTTTTCGTGATTCGTGCGTGGCTTCCTTCGTGTTACTATTATTTAATCGTTTCGCAATTTTTTCATGGTAAATTTTTTAATTTTTATTTTTACATTTGATACAGTGTAATTGTCAAATACGTGTAAATAATTATAATACATAGTATATTAAAATACTCTGCATTATATTTATTGTTTTTTAAAACAATTATCATATAATTTTCCTTAATATTAAAGTCAAATTATTATATGGTAAAGCATATGTTGAATACGAATAAAAAGAAAACTAAATTAAAATCTATCAGTTACATACAAGTGTGATGGTTTACAAAGAGTTCGGTGCTTTACAATGAATGTAGTTTATGGGTTATAATGTCAGTGTCAGGCGAGAATTATTTTTGAATTCGAAAATTATCGTCGTCGTGATAATTCTTAGATGCAAATTCACTACAAAACTTTAGTGGGTAGGTTGGCTAAAGTATAAGTGTTTTCAAACTTTGTGACTTAAAAAAATATATGAATATAATTCAGCCACGTGTATTCACCGGTTGTGTAAGTGTCTGGTCAACGATCCCACAA